GTCTCCCATACAGTCCTGGTGTCTCACACATGCAGTCCTGGGTCTCACACACATACAGTCCTGGTGTCTCACACTACAGTCCTGGTGTCTCCACACATACAGTCCTGTGCCACACATACAGTCTGGTGTCTCACACCCTACAGTGCTGGTGTCTCACATACATTCCTGGTGTCTCCACCACAGTCTGGTGTCTCACACATGCAGTCCTGGTGTCTCACACATACAGTCCTGGTGTCTCACACCCACGGTCTGGTGTCTCACACATACAGTCTGGTGTCTCACACCCCACGTCTGGTGTCTCACATACAGTCCTGGTGTCTCACACATGCAGTCGTGTCTCACACACGTCCTGGTGTCTCACACATACAGTCCTGGTGTCTCACATACAGTCTGGTGTCTCACATGCAGTGCTGGTGTCTCCACACATACAGTCCTGGTGTCTCACACACACAGTCCTGGTGTCTCACACAATACAGTCTGGTGTCTCACATACAGTCTGGTGTCTCACACATACAGTCTGGTGTCTCACACATACAGTCCTGGTGTCTCACACACACAGTGCTGGTGTCTCACACCACAGTCCTGGTGTCTCCACATACCCAGTCCTGTGTCTCACACCACACAGTCCTGGTGTCTCACACATACAGTTCTGGTGTCTCACCATACAGTCCTGTGTCTCCCACACATACAGTTCTGCTGTGTCTCACACATCGGTTCTGGTGTCTCCCACATACAGTCCTGGTGTCTCACACATACCCATCTGGTGTCTCACACATCCGGTTCTGGTGTCTCACACATGCAGTTCTGGTGTCTCACACCACAGTCCTGGTGTCTCCACCCCGTCAGTGTCTCACACATACAGTGCTGGTGTCTCACACATGCAGTTCCTGGTGTCTCACACATGCAGTTGGTGTCTCACACATACAGTCCTGGTGTCTCACATACAGTCCTGGTGTCTCACATACAGTCTGTCTCACACATACAGTTCTGGTGTCTCACACACTTGTGCTGTGTCTCACACATACAGTGCTGGTGTTCACACATGCAGTTCTGGTGTCTCAACACGTTCGTGTCTCACATACAGTCGGTGTCTCACATACAGTTCTGGTGTCTCACACATAGAGTGCTGGTGTCTCACACATGCGGTTCTGGTGTCTCACACATACAGTCCTGGTGTCTCACACGCAGTCCTGGTGTCTCACCACCTGGTTCCACATTGTCTCACACACATACAGTCTGGTGTCTCACACATGGACTGCAGTGTCTCACACATCTGGTGTCTCACCACATCCTGCCACGCCTGTGTTCACACATACAGTCCTGGTGTCTCCACATCAGTTCTGGTGTCTCACACACTGCGTTCTGGTGTCTCCACATGGACTGCACACACTGTCTCACACATGCAGTTCTGGTGTCTCACACTTGGTGTCCACGTTCTGGTGTCTCACACATACAGTGCTGGTGTCTCACATACAGTTCTGGTGTCTCACATACAGTCACACCCCCTGGTGTCTCACACATACAGTTCTGGTGTCTCACACATACAGTCCTGGTGTCTCCACACACAGTTCTGGTGTCTCCACACATACAGTCCTGGTGTCTCACATACAGTCCTGGTCCACATACAGTCCTGGTGTCTCACACATACAGTCCCGTGTCTCACCGGTCCACAGTCTCACACATACAGTTCTGGTGTCTCACACATGCAGTCCTGGTGTCTACTGCGTCCTGGTGTCTCCACACACAGTCCTGTGCTCACACATACAGTCCTGGTGTCTCACACAGTTCTGGTTCTCCACACTCCAGTGCGTGTCCCACACATACAGTCCTGGTGTCTCACACAGTCGTCTCACACATACAGTC